TTATTAAATTAATATTTAAATATTTTGAGAAAATGTATGTTATGTAATAATTGTTACTAAATTTAAATATGAAACACACCCACAAAAATTTTTTATTGTTTTTTAAATTTATTTTACTACAGTTTTCTTTTGTAAAGCACAAGTGTCCCATCACTTTTTTGAGACACTGTAAATTCACGTACAGTGGCTCCCAAAAATGTTCGTATTGAAAAAAGTCTCTATCCATTAATTAAAAGTAAACTTTCTGAATGAGATTTTAATAACAAAATCTATAATCTATTCGTAACAAAATTACATGAAATATTTTTTAAATATAGCAAAACTTAATTTTTAAGAAATTAATAATAAAAAAATGACAAACATTTTATTTCACAAAAGTCTTCGTACGCTGAAATATTTTTGGATAAAATTAAAATTAGAATTATCGTTTGTCGCTTTTTCTAATTTTTGCATTGTGGTGGCATTAAAAAATTGTTTGCTTTAATTTTTTATTGTTTACTTTATAATATTCTATTTATTATTGGAAAATGGGTTGCAGTCGTAAAGAAATTACAAACAATATTCGAAAATTGATCATTTTTCACCATAGTGGTGGTAAATCAATTCGAAATATCGCTAAATTAGTTAGTTTATCCCATTCTACAGTGCAATATGTGATAAAACGCTTTAAAGAAGAAAATCGGATTGAAAACAAGGTAAGAAAAGGTCGACCAAGAAAGTTAACTAAGCGTAATGAGAGATTTATTATTAGAAAATTTGTGAAAAACCCACGTTTGTGAGCTGTAAAAGTTTCTGCAGAGTTTAATGCAAAGTTTTCTACTTCAATTTCGCCTGAAACTGTTCGACATGTTCTCAGAGAAGCTGGATTACATGAACATTCTGCCCGTTAAAAAAATTTTTGTTAGTGAGAAAAACAGAAAGCTTAGACTTTCATTCGCAAAATCAATGATAAATACACCCGAAACGTATTGGAATAATTTCCTATTTGCTGATGTCCTAATTTGCAAATTTACCATTTTTGGTTCCGATGGTCGAATAACTGTATGGAGAAGAAAAAATGAGGAACTTCATTCTAAGAACTTAGTTGGGACAGTTAAGCATGGCGCTGGAGGTGTTCTTGTGTGGGGTGCTTGGTAGCATCAGGACTAGGTAATTTGGTATTTATTGATGGTATAATGAATCATTCTCTTTATTTAAATATTTTAAGAGACAATTTAAAATTATCAGCCCAAAATTTGGGGGGTATTGGAAACAACTTTATTTTTAATCATGATAACGATCCTAAGCATACGGCTCTCAACGTCCGCCTATGGTGTCTCTATAATGTCCACAGGTTTTACGAGTACGAAAACACGACATCAAAACGAAAAGCGAACTCAAAACAGTCATGATGGAAGAATGAATTACAAAAACACTAGTAAAATCTATTCCCAGATGCTTAAAAGCTGCTGTGGATGCTAAAGGATATCCTACTAAATATTAATTTAACAAAAAAATGAAAATATTTGCTAATATGTCAAGATTTTTTTTGAAGTGTACGAAGACTTTTGTGATATAAAACGCTTGTCATTTTTTGATTATTTGTTTCTTAAAAATAAAGTTTCGCTATATTTTAAAAATATTTCATATAATTTTGTTACGAATAGATTATAGATCTTATTATTATAATTTCATTCAGAAAGTTTACTTTTAATTAATGGATAGAGCCCTATTTGAATGAAAATCATAAGTGTACACTTTTGGGAGCCACTGTATATGCTAGGAAATTTTGAATAAAAAATTCTAATTTTTTGCAGCTGTGTTTAGAAATGCATCCACTTTCAGATGAGTGTAAAAAATTTATAGGTGCTGATTCAAAATGGTTTTCGAAAACTTTATAAAAATTATTTAAAAACAAATCATAAAAAATGGGCCAATTTTATTTGGAATGAACCTAAATTTCGAATTCTGAAAGAAAGAATCAAGTAAGTATAAAAAAAGAGATATTAATAAATATATAGCAAATTCAATTAACACTGAGGAGCTAAAATTTTGACAGCTAATTTTTTGAAAACTACATGTGCGATTTTGTACATGTAGAAAACTTGGTAGTTTGGCATAAGTTGAGTCGTAGATTCGAAAAATGGAGTGGGGGGTGGGGAATAGCATTTCCTGTTAGAAAAAGTCCGGTTTTGTCTCAAAATACCTTTACTAGGACAATGCTATATATATCTAATATTCTAAGCCGAGCTTTCGAGACGTGAAAAACGCAAGTTGAATTTCGTCAATCGGCCCAACCTTTTTTTTTGGGGGGGGGGGTTGCCCAGTGTACATAATTTTTGTGTTTCCTTACATATTTGAAGGTCTTTTCTAGCGTTTTCCGATTTAAACAATATCACTTTATTAATGAATTGCTTGCCCAGTTCCAGTATTCATGACTAAACTGTATCGTGTGGGTGAATGGAAATGGAAGCACCATCTCATAAGTCCCGGTAAACGTAAACATCGCCAAAACTGGGGACAACAGCATAAAGCTAGTATAGTTCGACCGTCTCAAGCGCAACCCTGCTTGGCATTCTGCCAAAACACATAGACTCGTCCAAAAGGGGCGGTATTACCAAATGAAATTATCTTCAGGAGGCTTTGGTATTACTTGCTGCGACGTGAAAGGTCTCTTCTCCGGAAAGAGCTATGCTGGAGGGAAATAAAGTCCTCATCCTTCCACCTTATTTGGAGGATAATTCGGTTCGAATGGTGCACGCGTGTTTACGCTCATGGTCGCGGATGAGGCGGTCGAACTCATGGAGGTAAGAAAGGAAGGAGTGGCCAACCGGCACTAGAAGTGAAGCACTACTTCGAAGCTTCGGTCACCAGATGGGGTGTTCTTTGTTTACATTCAGAAGCTCGCTTGACAGTGTTCTGATAGTATTTCGACACACACCAGTTCCCTACAAATCGAAAAAGGGACACTTTCGCATGAAAGAAACATTCATAGTGTGATGGATAATAGCAATTTGTATAGTTTAGTGACATTTACGCAAAAATCACATCTTGGTTATTTTTCGATAACTAACAGCGATTTTGATTATGAAGTTTTGTAAAAGTCTAAGCTGTTGAACTACAAAAATATAGATTTTAACAAAAATGTTATGTTTAAAGAATGAAAAATACCTTACTGTACCTTTAAAATTGTATAAGTCTTTCGATACCCTTGATAGAGTATTCGCTACTTTTATTTTATGTTCAAACGCCGAAATGTTTTAAATAAAAGAAATTTTTTTTCACATCCATATATTATTGCAACATGTACCTTTTAAAATTTTTTAGAGGAGAAGCTTTACTGTTGCTCATTTTAAACTCATCGTTTTAATTTTATATATCTGAAAAATAATTACTTTGGGCTTACACGTTTTACTTATTTGGGTTAATTAAAAATAAAATCCTTATTTTATTCCCTTTCAGAAATGCTCAGAGAAAATTAAGTACTATTTAAAGTATTTCGCTAATTTCTAATAATTCTTTAATTTAAAATGAACCGAAAAGAGCATTAATTATAAATTGACTTATATTTTTCGATTTAAAAGATGCCTCAGAAGCCAAAAAATCATGTCATATTTAAGAAAGTACTTTAGAAAGAAGCTTAATTAATAGAAAAGAAATAATGCATAATTTTAATATTAATAATACAATAAACTTTGATCTTAATTTTTTGGTACCTTAACCGAATAAAATCGAATTACCTTTAAAATTTTTTTCTAATGTTAATTAATGAAAACATGCGAAAATATTTCATTCAAACTAATACCATTCTGAGCAAACTGTCCTGTGAAAAGTAATAGCATTTAATTCCATTATTCAGAATGAAATGTTGTTTAAAAATATGTATTCTTTTCATATACATAGGACTCTGAAGGGTTGTAGAAAAAGAAAATATATACATTTATATGTATATTTACGACGTAATTACAAAATATTTACATCTTATCGCGTCAAAACCCATTGAACTGAATGGTAAATGACCCAATGTTTTGGTCACCACGTAGGGATCGCCAGTGCTTCAGAGCAGGGTACGGGAGAAACCTGTTTAGGGCTACTCCATCTTACTTCCTACCTCCATGGTCGAACTATACTCCCACAAATGAAACCGTTTAGGATAGTAACAGTTTCTCTTGCGTTAACCTCTCTTTCTTTCACTACTGTTTGAAATTTATTTGCAAGTTTAATATATTATTCACCCATCATTTATTATTATTTTATCTGATTTCTAGGCTATATTTCCTAACAGTAATGTTACTAAAAAGTGTTCGCAAAGAAAATCTAGAAAATTACTTGCTCAAATACATGTTTCGGCGTCACATCAAATATTCGGCAGAAGATACATTCACGGAAATTTAAGTAGAAATCGATTTCTATAAGTAATATTTGTTTTACTTTTATACTAATTTTTACTTGCATGTGCATAATACCATGCCTTTTTTCTGTTAATTTACATGCGCTAAATATCCAGTTTAACAAGCTGATTTTTATTGACATATGTTTAATAGCATACTTTTCTCCGAACTTAAATTATTATATCCTAAATATTTAAATTCTAAAATTAATTCATATACATTAAATATCATGCTTTAGCCCATATACATTAAACATCATGCTTTTTCAATCAACTTCAGTTCACATGCAGTGAATATTATGCTTTGTCTGCTAACTTTAGGCTTAATATCATACTTTTTTGACTTAATAATAACGCTTTACCGTATGTAAAACCTAACTTACATATGTTAGTGTCAGGTAAATAGCAATTTAAATTTGGCTTACATATGTTCAATATCATATATCCTTCTGCTTAACAATAACTTTACGTTTAAACATTACCGCTAAAACTGTTTTCGATTAGCCGTTGACGTATTTGGCGAGTTAAAAATCTACTGCCGCGAAGGGGTTCTCTGCTATAGTATTAATGTTTGAACTGACAGTGAATTAGTTGGTGTAAAGAAAAGACAAGAACAACTTTCGAGAACAAATACTTGACTGCAATTGTTTTTTTATTAAGAAGAAATTGTGCTAGACACTCGAGAAATATAAATGAAGATGATTGATCAGGAAATCATACACAAAAATATGCAATAGTTAAAAAGATCATAAACGCATACGCTATCACAAGATAAACAGTAATAAAACAATTGAATAATACACAAATGGAGAAGAAAATTTAAAATTAATGCCTGCGTCACCCCGTTGCTGAAATAAATTATATATATATATTTATCAAAAAATTGTCTGTGGAGTGTGTTCTCCACAGTATTGCAACACACAAATTGCCCCACAGTTGGCTGGGAATACAGGCCGAGATAATTATACTAATAAACAAACAAAATGTAATACAAACATCGCGAATGAGAACATATATCGATAGACATTATTATCCATTATACACGATTATCGATATAGTCCATCAATGAACATAAAAGAATGCCCCTTAAAATCAACGACCTATAAATTAAGCTCTCGAACATTCATTACTGTCTGCATTCCACCTTCATTTCCTTAAAATACAAGAGAATTATTATATTTCATTTTTATTAAAGTAAACGAAAATAATAAAGAAACACATTCACGCGCACGTTTTATTTATTTTTTTATTTAGTATGATTCCATTCAGTGTTTTCCATGGATTGCACGGGGGAAAAAAAATTGTAACACGGTGACATAGGTAACATATCAAACACCGTTAATCAATGTAATATATAGGAATATTAATATGTACACAGAGAAAATATATTTCAGTTGAAGGATTTTTTTAAAAAAATGTCTAGAGAGGTAATAAAAACTTATGATATGCTTCTGAATGGTTTGGATTTAATAGCCGTCAAAGGCTTAGTGTCATTTCGTCCTTTCTCGATTCCTCCTCTGCTCAAAATACTGCCGATTTGTCTACTTTTTCCCATCGATTCCCCCTTTCCCTTTTGATACCATGAATACGTGCTTTCGTCAATTAAAACAATTTATACGAGGTGGCCCGCACTTTGGTGGTGGCACGAGCTTTTAATTACAAATATTTGTTAATATTTCCTTAGACAATTTATTTTCTGGAGAATAATGGATTTTAAGCGTGTTATAAATATTTGTATTAGAATCTACTTAAAATTTTGTTATATAAAGCTTTTTTTTTAAAGTTTTACGTATTTTTAAAGCAACAGAACTATAACTTCATACTACTCTGAAAGATAATATAAATGCAACAAATTTATAATTAAGACTAATGCGCATGCTTATCAAAAGTACAGCGAGTCCTCTTTATATTCAACCATTCACATTCTAAAGGTGATATTATGTTCTAAAAATACAGATCTCTTTCAGAAATGTCGCCTTAGGAAAATGGTCGCTACTGAAGAATTCATTATAATTGTTTTCTAGCAGATAATAGAATTAATTTGATGTAATGACAGCTTAAAAATTACTGTTTGATCTAAGAGAACTATAATCTGGTATTATATAAGTTTGACTGTTTTTATGTACTTTTTAATGTATGTAACTTACTCATATCCACGCGCATGTAATAATTATACAATAAGACGCATAATAAATTATTAAAAATTACAGATTAGAAACTTGATAATTTTTCTGTTATATATACTACTACTATTTACGAATGAGAACGAAATTTTACCACTGATCTACAGTATATGTCCGAATATAATCCGAGAGTATACGCTTTGTCATCAAAAATTCAAAACCCGTATATCAGCGGAAATGATAATAATAATAATTAAAACAAATTCAAAGTGTGCATTATTTTCTTATCGAATTGCTGTAAAGATGGATGCCAGAAGCCAATAAACGATAGTTTTTTAACTCTGGTAATTCTGTCTGAAGTTAGCACATTTTTTCCATTCATTTGTTGTCTTCTTAACGATTTGTGACATCTGTCGGCAAAGAACGTGTATATTAAAAAAGAAACCAAAGCTGGAGTGGCTCCGTCAAACCACAGAGGGAAAAGTGAACTAACTTTTTAAAAGTTTCTTTTGCAGGGGCTATCCATCCAGCCTCAGCATTTCTTTGCGCATGCGCGAAGTATGTCCAACAGGTGTCGAAAGTCATGTTTGCAAAGAATTAAAAATTTTGTAATATCATCCCCCCCGTTGTATAGCCATAAATGAAATCGGTGATCTACGCAATTAAATAATGATTTATTTTGAGTAATATAATCTACGAAAATCCGTGTTTAAATTATTTTGAAAAATTTTGGGAAAGAACGAACTGTAAGTTCTGTGGTTTCGTACCGTATTTCTCAATTTTCTATACACCTGGTGATTTGGCGACGAGAACTTGTCCTTCCACGGTTTAGTGGCGCCGTAGTCAAACGCGTTTACACTACGTCTATGGAAGCTTTCCTTCTTTACATACTTGTTCTTTGGTGTTAGCCTTATTTTATACACCATATTATTTTTTGTCTGATAATTAAGTAGGAAGAAAAATTCTTAAACAGCAAATTTCAAACTACACTACAAGTAATCGCCTTTGATGAAAATTCTACCAGCAGTATAGCTGCTCGGCTTTACTCTGTAAATAAAAACAAAGTTCGAGAACGGAGAAAGAGGGATGCAAATTTCGCCAATATAAGATTTTTCGCGTTGGCGACGACGTATCAAACCAGCATTATAAAAAAATTAAGAAGCAAAACAACTCATTTTCATAAAAAGAATATCTCACTTCATTAAACATTTTCATAAACTAATGAAATATATAAACTAAAATTTAAAAAAAAAAGTGAGATATTTGGCGACGATCGCTTGCTCACAGCTAACGGAAAAGTACCTATGTTTTTTGCGAGATTATAAACGACCCTATAATTTAGCTTTAGAAAATGTTCCAAAATTCTCCTTTTATACACAGAAATATACGGTAATTTATAAAATTTTGCTAGAAATCTATTATATTTGAAGTTATTTGTAATCTTGAATAACTGTTATATTATTAATAAATAACTATTATATTAGTAATAACTACTATGTTAATAATAACTATTATATTATTAATGTATTAACTGTATTATTAAAAATAGTAATAACCATTATATTAACTTGATAATAACTATTTATTCCCATATTTTATTATGAACAAAAGTATGGATTTACGTACTAATTACAAATGCATATCATAGACTTACTGCATGAATATTTCTTACTGCATATACTTATTATGCTGCCAAAAGACAGAAGCGATAATGTATCGTTCAATTAAAAGCAAAATTCCTCACGAAAACTTTTCTTTTAACTTTATACTACGTTTTTTTTTTTTTTTTTTTTTTTTTCCCGCCTCCTGTCTCTCCAACTTAGTTATATTCAAAATGCAGGTAGATTCTTTTTCTTGCGATACATCATCTTCAGAATTTATTAATAATATAATATTCCAATGCAATAGGCTTCTCGGCAAATCCAACGTCTATTGTCATTTTTTAAACTTCTTTTTAATGTTTATGATCCACTTTCGAATATTAGCAAAGGATGACCATGTTTGGTTACAATAAATTCAGGTTTCTATGAAGTCATGAACCTGTTTTAAACAGACATGAATGAAAACATGAAAAGGCTAATTAAGAATAATCACATGTGATTGAAACTGGAGCTGCATTTCTCGGTTGTGCATCGTTCTAAATTTACTTCGAAACAATTAGCGTACTGATCAGATTGTTAAATTTAACTAGTCAATAAACATTTATCAAGTAATCTTCTTTGTCTCAAGAAATACCTATCTCAACAACTTTTTGGAAAGGGGAAGAATGGAGAAAAATTCAACGTTCCGTTACCAGAGAAGTGGGGTATAGGAGATGGGAAATAGCAGCAGATAAATCACCACGATTTTGACCACAAGATGACAGAGGGAAGAACTGGAAAATCCACCAATCAAATAGTAGTTAAGAAATTATACCGTTTTAAATAAATAAATAAAATTAAAAAAAAAAAAAAAAACATAGAAGACTCGAAATCAAAATAAAATTATCGTAGTAATTATTATATTTTTATCCATAGATTAATTCAAAAGGAAACATTTGCGGGAAATATGAACATTTATGGGAAAAGTAACTGTGTGCGACAGAAGATAAACTGTGGCATCTGAAGACAGGCAAAGCATTAATTTACAGATTTCTGTACATGATTCCATCTGTTGCATATTTAGTAGGCAATCAAGTTCTTGCCATAGTCGTTGCAACATAGACGCTTGTCTAAATGCATTGTAGCTGGCACAACTTAAGGCATAAGGAGGCCATTCACAGTTTCTTTGACATATATTTACAGGAAAGGAAATAATCGCACATAATAACTATTCCGATCTCAACATTCCCAAGATGGGACAATTTCATTAGGTTATTCGTCGGTATTCATCATCTATGAAATCATCACAAGGGCGCTTTTCGCTAGCATTTTTAATAACCGGATAATTGTTATTAGCTTGATTAGTTCTAACTGAGCATCAAGATGCGACAATTTCTTTAGGATACTAGTTATCAGTGTTCAGCTACTAGAAACCACCACTCGCATATCCTCCATCAGTACTTTTAATAACTATCACCAGATAATTGCCAGTCATTTGATTATTATCAAATGAACATCACGATAGGACGATTTCCTTAGGATATTAATACCTTTATGAAAATTGCCAGTCTTGACCAATCCAAAAACCATTACGAGGGTGACCTCACCAGTACCTTTAATGAGGATTACTTTTAGGTTGAAAAAAGACACTCCATTAAGATCCTGTAACTTTAACGGAGTTATAGCTTTGCACCCTGTAACTTTAAAGGAGGGAGGGATTGAATGTCAAGGAAGTTGCATATGTGCTGCTCAAAATATGAAATGGCTTAGAAGCATGTTAGAACATCACTGAAGTCACATGAATATGACATAACGACTATTGCAAGAACTCGACCAATAATTCATTGCGACTGCTGTAGTGGTGCATACAAGCTAGAAAATATCGATATAACTTGAAATATAATTCGAGAATGCAATACAACTACTCAGAATAGAAGTAACATTTTATTAGTGCTATTGCATTTTGCTATTTCAAGCTCACTAATCCTGATTGCTATTATGTCTACATAATAAATCTGAGTTCCTGTCAACCAAAAAGAGTCACAGTTTGGCACATGAATAATGCATAAAATCTTCTCAAGCACAAGCTCATATTCTTCACTGCTAATGAAAAGTCTTCGCATGCCCGTAATTTGATAGATGTAGCAATTTTCGTTAGCAGACAAATGAATTCTTGTATGAAATTCTGCTTTGCTTTTTTAACAACTAGAATTACCAGCTAGTCGAATCATAACTAATTCTTAAGGTTACCGCGTATTTTGGTCAGTTTCAATGTTCCCTTTTTTGCTGAAATTTAGAAGTGATTATTTTTGCAAAGTTCTGTGCACTTTTACTGTTATTGATTGACTATTTACAATAATTTCCTGAATTTGTTTATATTTATTGAATAATTTGAGTTCTGAGGTTGCTCAACCATTATTTTATTCTTGTCGATCGGAAATACATAAAACTGTTGAACAGTAAAAGAGAATACTTTTTACATCAGTGAAAAACTTATATTCAAATTGTGATAGGAAAACTTTAAGCCTAATTTTTGCCAAATCCAAAAAGGCACAAATACTATACTTTTTCCCTTTGTTATAAATATTGGTAAAACCATTAACTATTTACATATACTATACATAAATTACTATACATAAAACTTTCTTTCTTTCTGTAAAAATATAAAAAATTTTCTTTTTACCCTCTTGGTAAAACTAGTTGTAAGTTAATTATAAAAAAACTGATTTCTTAAACAAATAGAAGACTGTCTTTTTTGTTCTAAAATGTCCTGAAAGACCCTAAAAACATCCAAAAGAGGCAAAGCAGCGATTTTTTTTTTTTTTTTTTTTTTTTAATGATATGATCAAAATTTCAGTTTACTATTTTAAATTCCACTGGTTTGAGGAAGAAAAAATCGCAGCAAATCTTTATTAAATCTAAAAAGTTTTGATTTCAAAAAATATTTTTCCTTCGCTTTTGTTTTTCACTGCTTTGGATAACTAAGATGAATTACATTTTTACTAAGACAGCTTATTCCCAATTTTCATTCTACCAATCAATTAAGTTTTTATTTTATTTCTGATGACTAGTACATTAAAATAGTGTTTAAATATAAAACGAACGAGGAAAGTGAGCCCTCTTTCAGAAAGCAAAATATATTTCCGACGTATGACGCTTAGCACACCGTGAACTGACTGGCCATAACATTATTATTCCTTGAACTATTAACAAGGCTTAATTAAAAGGCAAGAAATTTCAGCACATTAAAATAGTTATAATAATGATAATAATAACCCCGTCAATCCATGGAGTCAAAGCTACGTTCACATGTTCTTAAGATAATTTCAAAGGCCAATTTTATTCTTCGAAGAACGTTTTTGAAAGTCATGAACGTAACTGCACTAAATGGGCATACAATATAATACATTAAGAAACAAAAAAAAAAAAGTCACGAACGAAGTTTCTTTTTTAATATTTATTTTCTTTTATCATGTATTAGTTAATTTAATACGGTTTCTTAATAAAAGAAAATTATCAAGAAATTTGGATAATTTGATACCGAAATGAATAAAGTTTTTAAGTGAGTTATTAAATATAAAATGTTCATTTAATTTTCACATGACTGAATTAGTCCTACAGAAAATACCCTTGCATCTTCTTTTTAAAAAAATGCAGTCGATAAAAAAATTCGACGAAGGGGATTTTTTTTTTTTTTTTTTTTGTCATATGGAATAGTAATGAAAAAAATATTGCTTCAAATATTATTTTTCAACGCAATTTCTTTTTAAATGCCAGTTATTTTTAAGAGGAAATAACCATTCTGAATGCACATAATTTTTTAAAGTCGCATAACTTGTCACACAATTTTTTTTAAGGGTGACAATTTTTAAGTATTTTTTTTTCTTTTCCTGATGAAACGATTCTGTGAAGCAGAAAAAATCATTTACTTGTATATGAAAGCTGCGTTCAAAATAATGACATCACCAGTGATAAAAATATCACATAAAAACTCATCAATTTGTAATCATATGTTTAATGTTCCTTTCGATAAAAGCCATTCGTGCTTGATTCAAAATAATAATCATTTTTCTCAAATAGTGTAGCATCTTTTTAAAATATATGATGGGTAATTAATGAAAATTATCAGATTTATTGACAAGTGATAATTAGAAAGATATCGACTCTTTTCAAACGATATTAAAACTTGAAGACAGCTAAAATAATTTAAATAATTAATATTAATAGATATGAATTATGGACCGTTTGAAAAAATGTTGTTTCTTTTGAATCAAAAACTATCATCAATTTGCTAATCATCATAATTCTTCTTTATCGTGTCATATATTTTCCTAAATATAAACTTGATCTAAAATTTTTATTTTCAAGCTGACTTCGTTCGTGTCTTTTACAAATTATTGACGTAAACAAAAACTGCTGAATTGAAACAAAGGCCGCACAGAGAAAAACTAAACAGAACATAGAATTTTTCCCTGAGATTCTGTGCGGCCCTTCATACACCCCCAAATAAAACAACATACATCTCTCTAAACAGCAGTCACACTTTCAGCAGCATTCGGACAGGTCACTTAAAAAAAAATAAATACATGAACAAGGAACTCAACAAACATTTTAATATTACGATAACCATCGTTAAGAAATCACTTTAACAAAACAGCCTATGCCTATCTGCTCGAAAACAAATTCTCCCGATAGCATGAAATCAACAGCGACGAAATAAAATAAATACATTTTTTTTTTTAACTTAAAATATTTTCTCTGAAAGGTTTAAAATGAGGAAATTTAAAAGCAAACATTAAGCAAAAACCCAAAGGAGCTGTCACATTACAAGTCAGAGTCAAAAACGAAAAAAAAATGTGCAATGATGTATCTGAAAAAGTTAAATATTCTAATAAAATGAAACATTTACACTTAAAGAGTATTTATAAAAAGAGAACAATGAGCAACTATTATCTCTCTGGTTTAGTTTAGAAACATCCTAGATAAAAATTAAGGTGATTTAAAAGAAATACTTATGCTTAGACTACTTTTTCGCGATGTATTTATTTACAATTGAGGAGAAAAACCTTTGGCAGAGCATTTGTATAACAACTTCCATTGATGGAAAATGAGACATAGTCTAAAATCTGATGTAGAGAAACGTTACCTTTTAAATAAAAAGATACACGGGTTTTCCATTTTCAGCATTTAAGAATATGTAGATGTAGACTTTTCGGAAGTGACAATAGGCAAAAATATGATGATTTAAAACCTTCATTATTTAAGTGCTATGGAAGCAAGATTCATTTATTTAAAGATAGATTAAAAAAAAAAAAAAATAAATAAATTACTTTTTTCTTTGTTAACTTGACTGGGCATTCAAACATTAAAGGTAAAGGTGAAAGTTAGTAATATACCACTATTTAAAATAGTTCTGATCATCATTTTTCGATGGCCCCTTTCGCCAAGTTAGACACTGTTTTTTTTTTTTTTTTTTTTTTTTTTTTTTCTTTAAATTACGATTCAAATACATTTCAAGTGCTATACTTTTAAGATAAGAATGAAACAATTATAAAAAAATTAATATCAGCGTTATGGAAAATTGATTACTTGTCCTAGTATTTACAAAATTTTGATTTTAAAGTTTCTCTTTAGATGCTAACCAAATTTTTAATATATCATTAGTAGTAACTAGACCTGACTAACTATTTTCCCTTTCTTCTATCCAGAATGTTGCCTCTGTTCTGGTTGTATGAAATTCTGACTGCAAAATATATAGACAAAATCCGAAATTTTTTACAGTCATGTCCAAATCTGGCAAAAAAGGGACCACCAAAGTTTACCATAAGCTTTTTACTGCACTATCTTCTGTACTGAACGAAGTCTTCTAGTATGGGTATTTATTTCAAATACAGAATTTTGAATTTGTAAAAAAAGCGTCCATCTTTTGCAGTCAACGAACGACATGAAATAACAAATGCACAACTGAATTCATGCGAGTACAAATATACATTTGATTGAAAGCGTCCACAAATAGTTCTTCACTCCTCTGCTGATTTAGCTGCGGCGCGCTAGCTGCGTCCAGGCGGGTTATACCACCTTTTTGATAAAAGTCTTCAGATTGAGAGTTATGACGATTTTAAAAGGAAAGAAAGGAGATCTAAAACTTCACGTCTTTGTTTATTCCGGAGAAAGAGAGAGAGAGATTGCAGTTTGGCAAAGAAGCTGCTGCTCGTATCACGTCAAGTCCAGGGAGAATGCTTGGGTTCTTCTTTCTCGATCGAAATGTTTTTGTTTTTATTTATTTAATTTCTTTAAGTAAATCGAAGGCACGAAAGGCGGTGGAGGCGACTCGTCCGTTAAAGGCGATTTCTGTGGTTTGGAGCCGCGAAGAGCACACCTTGGTACATGATGCCGTTCACTTCCATGCTCACCATCAAGGAACCATCCGATTGCGTCCTACCGTCCGGGCCTTTAAAGAGAAAAACAACTCCAATTAGTACTCATCTAGGACATAACACACTATAAATACTATTAGTAAATTATTAGGTTAATTGAATAATATACCCGACAAATACAGGGCGGCCGAAAGAGTTGCATCTGATTTTAAACTTTATCGTAAATTAGTCTTAAGATTTTATACTCAAAAACTGCAATTTTGACTATACTAATGGAAAAGGCAACACCGATGTGCACAGAAGTTTTGCTGAGAAGTAATGATGCCACAGCCAGTGCGTATGAGAATGGCGACAGTGCAACGAAAAATGCAGTGCGTATTGTGGTACGCAAAATTTAAATCTTCTGTTAAGTATTTAAAGCAATTTTTGGTTAAGTTTGTGAGTTTTTATGAGATACAGCTGGCGTATTAAAAATTATTTCTAGTATTGCCTTTGCTGTAATCGCACCAAGCACTATCCAAGTGTATGTAAATGAAAATAGAATTTGAAAATAAATTGCAGAGCGGTCAACATAATGCAGATTGAAATTTACTAATTAGACGGAAAAACTTTAAAAAAATACACTTTTTTGCTTATTTTGAAGCAAAAAATGCTAAGCTCCCCCAAATATTTTTCCTAGTAAAACTATATGAAATATCCACCTGTTTCGATGACCAAGCGGTCGACTGGGTTTGAATATGCACCGGCAATGGATCGGCATAATCAAGATCTCATTGATTACAATAAACTTATTAATAAAACTGATAATTAATTGCTCACTGATATAAAATTTATCATAGCCCTTCTGGGCTACCGCCCCTTTGGGCTAATAATACAAAAAATAATGAAACGTAAAATCTATTAAACCATTTTTCAAAACTTTTGTTTAAATTCTTAATGCATTCTTTCTTAAACCTTGTCATCTTTAAGTTATTTGTGCGCAATAATTTGTAGTATGAATATGTCGTGCACATTTCTCTATATTATAGAGAAAAATGTAATTCAGTCGATGAAGGAATACGTTCCTTTGAAAAGGGTCGATGCAACAAAAAGTTTGGGAATCCGTGCTGTATAGCATTACTAATGATAAAATTACATGATTATTCAAAATAATCGACCCGTTTTGTTAGATATACTACCCATAAAATTTCATAATTTTCCGAAATATTTCACCCCGTCACATTGCATCATAGGTTAAAAATATTACTAGTCTAATTCAGGATTATTAAAAATGACTAATCCTATAATATAGCATACTGGCCGATTGAATGCTAATTGATCAAATAATTATGCTAATTAATCCAATAATATAATGATTACTAATAGATCCAATAATATTGTACAATGCAATGGAAATATTGCTGGTAAAAATTACCAGCAAATTAAATTTCACGTTGCCAAAAGATGAATATTTTCGTCCTTCAAAACACACTTTTGATATTGCCAATTACAATAAAAAAAGAAGATATACAACTAGATTTGTATGCCTGACGTACAGAATTTCAACGTTCTACGGCTTATCGCTTTTGAGTTATATGAGATATATACATACGAATGTACGTACAGACGTCAGGAAAAACTCTATTTGAATCCATTTTACAAAATGTTTCGGAAAAACGTTTCCTTTACTCTGTTCGTACACACAGATATTAAGCAAAGAAATAGTCAAACTGCAATCGGAAACCCTCAAAATCGATATTTAATTTGAAATATGATCTCGAAAAGTTCTGGATTACGACAGTTCGGTTATTATAAGAGTTCGTAGGAGAAAGAAATGGGAGAGTTGTAAGTATAGTACATTGCAAAAATTTCATTTTAAAAGCATTATTTTAACTTCCAGTCAGTTGCCCAAACCCTTGGAACATAATTATTCAGCTGCCAGTATATGATGCTAGAATGTGAACATGACAAGAATACGAAAGTTTCGGAAAATTTCAAGCATTTTTCACGTACTATATACATAAATTTGGATAGTAGTTGTCCGCAGAAAACTGTTCGGGGGAGAGGGAGGTCGAATAAGGATCGAAGACAAATAACTGTTATCAATAAAATCTTATTCAATTATTTAATTTGGGTTTGGTTTTGTTTATCTGATTATGGCAAAGCAGGCAAGGGTTATCGGCCTAATGAGAAGGGGTGCTTTCGTAGAGGACTTTCGTAGACTAAGGCAAACTGGCTCGTATCCACGTTACACGTGGAGAACATCACGAAAGCATCCATGCATTCAGCCTATTTGCCTGGAGCAGTACCCATTAGCAGTATTCAGCAATTTACCAGTGTCAAAATTGGTAGAACAATTAATTTGGAGGGGTTCACAAGTTGATTGTAAAGTATAATATTGCACCACTATAAAAACATATAAACTGTACTATACTGTACATGTATCGATACAAAAACACATTTTTACTCGATTTAGGGGGAGGATAAATGTTCCCGCTTAGGGACGATCATTCTGTATAGTATGTGCCGTTTAGTTAATTATCCAATGAAATGAATCAATACATATGTGCTAATGTGTATTATACTAGTCAATATGCTGACGCCCTGTGCCTCATAAAACTGATGGAATTCCAGTAAGTTATATGTGTTGCTTTAAAGAAACTCTTTCTGCAATGGAAGAGGTTTATCAAACGTAAAATTCACTCAATAAATTCAAAGTAGATTAATAATTAATTACCTTTTGGATCCTACCACTTTCACTAATAAGCATCTTAGTCTGCCAGCTTTGGTTTGCAATTCACTGACTGTTCGACTGGTTTCGAACACGGAAGTCACGTATGATGCAAACTTTCAGCTTTCTGGAATTTTATTTTATTTATTTTTTTTTATTTTATTTTTTTTTTATTGGAGGATACCCCCTTCGCTAACAATTTTTATTTAAGTTGAATTCTACCGACTTTCTGTTAATTTCCTCTGTAAATAGGCTGGCTCTTTTTCAATGCCAGTTCAGAATGTAGCTTTGTAAAAATACAATCTCAAGATAATACCTCAAGATAATAAAGATACATCTGTTTAGCACACCTGAGACTACTGGAAGATGTATCGTCATGTGCGTGGGAGGAAAAGACCTGAGTAAGTGGACAAGATATCGAAGGCTCAGCGCAAATATCGGTACAATCGGTGCTGCGGTATATGGTAACAAAAATAGCCTATCCCGAGGACGTCACAGTTAAAGATAAAAAATTTAGCTTGAAATGCAGTTTAGATTTGGATGACTGGAGATAATCCCAACTTAGTGCTTAGGGAGAAAATATAACGGTAGCCAAAAATGATACCATAAAGGAAATTAATTTCACAAAAAATAATTAAGTTTTAAGGAAACAGGGATTTTCAACACAATGGATGTTTCTGATCTTAAACACTGCTATCGGGCAGAAAACCGATGCATCAGACAAAGAAAATTAAAGATTTATTAATATTTTGATTTGATATCGCGAAGAGCATAGGTAAGCATCTTACTTTTTTTTTACATTTTTCTGTATGTATTAGTATCACGTAGTAGTTCAATTTTCTTTAAAATGTTTGAAGTATTCATAACCATTAAAACGGATCAAAACATCCATTTCAAAATTTTTCCCATAAATAATACTGTTATTCGTTGATAAAAATTTCAAGTACTTCGGAATATGTGTAGTACATATGAAAGTATTAAATTTGTCTTGTAAAATGAAGACCTTCTTAATCAAAGGAGCTTGTAAGAATAATTACCGATTTAGCTCTGCCTTCATCAACAGGTCCTTGTACTTCGATATTGCCTTAATTAAAAATCGAGGGGAAAAATTCTGCCCGAAAATACGGTATATTTAAAAATCTAAGAAATTCCGCCCGCAAATACCTATTAAGAGTCCTCCCAATCTCTCTAGTTTTAGCCCGATGGAATTATGATTAGTATACAGAGTTTGACAGAAAGCCTTTACAGCGATACCTGGCATAAAAGGTGCCAATACCTTTGTGCCCAGAACCACTAAGAATATTTATGAATTGGCGAAAATAAAGATGCTGGTACTTTATGTTGTTATGCAGTTTTGGTTGATGCACCTCGATTTATTACCTAACCACGTACCTCGATTGTTGGTGATCTTGATGTGGGTGCTGGGCATACTCGATCGTGAAGTGAGCCTCTCTTCTTCTGTGAGCAGCCGTTTGGCGGGAGTCACGCTCTCGTCTCCGTGAGACCTTCGTGACGCCATGTTGAGGGGCCTGTGTTCGCTCGTCGTCGAATTCCGGGAAACTTCCAGGTTCAAGGCCTCCTGCTGTGGCATCACCATAGGATTGGGAGTGGACGGGATGCTGTTGCAGTTGTCTTCTTCGCCTGAGAAGGAAAAAAATTATTTACTTAAATATTGGAAAGGTTTGTTTAAAACACCAAACTAATAACGATTTTCAGTTATACCTCATAAATTCCACCAGACAAAAAAAAAAAAAAAAAAAAAAAAAAAGCATATATATTACAGTCTGCATTAGAAGTTTTAAACCAGACAAAATTCGGCCCTGGGGGGGGATTTCTTTCATAGTTTCAGGAAGCATGCGGTCCGACTTTTATTTAAATAGTTTAATGACCTGTTAAATATTTAGTTTCAGTTTATGAATATAAAAAACTTCTTTTATTCAAGCTTTGATAATTATCAACATTTTCTATGCCTTTTGTTATTTAATTTCTGAAACACCTTTAAAAAGCAATTAATCTGTATGATTACTGTATTTTTTGGAAAGAAGAATGGTTTTCTAGCAGTGATAAAAGGCATGCTTGCGGTAAAGTAGGTTAAAACTCACTGTTTTTAACAGAACATCAGGAAGACCTGAAATGAAACTAATCAAATGGTGAACATGAGTCAATGTTTACTATTTAATAACTAGAGCACCTCAATGTCATTTTATCGTAGCCTGATAATTTAAGGAAATAACTTGTGACTGCGCGAACTAGGGAATAAGGTAGTTATCAAAGAAGGAAACGTCTTCCACTTTACGATTATCATTAACGACTCGGTGGGTGCTTTCAGAAACGCATTTGAAAAAAAGACACGATCTATTTTACTCGTAAATATTTATTTCATGTCTTTCCTGGAGTGTCCAAGGTTGGACTGACCTCCGACGGAAAAGAGCTTATATCAACGGGCAGTCAATCTCCAAGGCCAATAAGTCATCGTTAAAAATTAAGATCACAATAAAATAAAAGTAAAATGTAGCCCTAACTCTATATTATTCTTACAGCAAAAGCTCTATATTATTAATTTTGTAGCAGTAACTTTGTATATCACCAATAAAGCCTGGCTGTTGTGAGCCTTCAGCTGATTTGTATCGCAGTTTTGGGCCCTAGGCATGTTCTTTTAAATACATCGTTTACAAAGGTAGGACATTTTAAAAAAATAGCTTTTTACAGAATAGACGGCAGGATTCTTTTAGTATAAAATCCAACTTTGTTTTGAATATGATTCTCTTTAGGAACAGCGCAAGAGCAAATGCAGCTGGTGTGGTAGCACCGGATGGCAGAATATAGTAGAAGAATTTCAAAATATAAAAAAAAAAATTCCAACTTTTTCGTTTCTATTCTTAGTTAAAAGTAATATACATTATGGTCAACTCATACAATTACATTTTCAATGCCAAATAAAATTAAAACTCAGCACGTAAAGAATGAATTTAGAAAATATTAATTTTTATGAACTATTACAGCGAACTCGAAGAAACGCATACCTAAACTGGAGACAATTTAACATTATTACAAGCAGATCAGAGGAAACAAGCCCTGAATTTTATAACACTAAAGATGGAATTTTTTTCAATCTGCATTACTTTAAGCACAATAGTTCATTAAATGAATTTTAGAAAAATTCGAAAGCGTTGGTGAAACACGATTTTTTTCAATTTAGGGAGATGTGGGTGGATACGCAAAGTATTACTGCCTTCCTGAAGAACATTGATTAAAGCAATGATTTCTCAAATTACATATTCTCAAAGACGGACCTCCCCTACTGAACTTTCAGCTTGTCACGAAGACACTTTATGAATGGCTAAAAAATATATATAGATAAGGGAGTGATAACGGACTTTAGCCTGAACATGCGTGATGAGCGTGGATAGTTTTCAAGATCTTGAAGACAACAAATGAGGGACACAGCAGGACGCGTCGACACGCCAAGAAACTGGCCAGGCGTACGAAGTAGGTAAAACGAAGGCAGTTTGCGAGAGGGCAGGCACACACAATTGAACAGCCAACATAATTATCAAGCATCTCTGATATAATTAAAGATGCGATGCATATAAACGTGAACGAAATTCAGAAGAGATATCCAATCCTACTGGCGGGAGGGGGGTACCATCGAAGGAGGAGAAAACGAACAACACACGTCCAGATTGGGCGCAGAATCGAACAGGAAAGGGGGTGAGAAGGAGGGAAAAAAGAATAACAGAAAGAGAAAACAACCCGCCTTCTCCATTTAATGAAACGCAGTTTCAATTACTTCTTTTACTCGGCCAACTTTCGCCGAAGATTAGTCATCAATTAACAAAACTATTTCGTTGGCCAGCTTTTCTATGTATAATCCAGAACAAATTCGGGTTCATTCATCATTTCCAATGCTAAGCAACAGAATGCAGGTTTCCCCTGAGTATGACATAAAATAAATTGGGTGCACGACAGGCTCTGGGCTCTCATTTTTCAATTATCAATCATGGGAACCGTTGCCCAGCCGTTCTTTCTCCCGCTTACAGCTTACACACTCGAACGAGAGATGGCGCTACAAGTCAAGTTAAACGCCAAGACATGCGATTCCCGATTGATCGAGTCGGCGCAACAACTTGCCGCGGGCGCAAATAAAGTGAACCGCTAACAGTTAAGTGTTAAAACCCGACTTCTAATGTTTTGCTACTATTTTCGCAAACCAATTTTGAATTCTCCGCTCTTCCTCAATCTGAAAATGTGATTTGAAACTCTCAAATGCGCTTATTCAGAGCTAAGCGCACAATTTTGATTCGTCTGTCTCTACTCTATTCACAAGAACTTTCATAATTCGCAACTCAGGTCTTCAGATCATATTCCGTCGACCTTTGACGTTCCACACAATTTCTCTACTGATTTCGAAAGTCCCTGAACCACTAAATTAATATTTTTTTTTATTTATATTACATTGTTATCTAAAATAATATGAAGCAGATATGTGTTTTATGAATAAAATTGTAATAAAGTAAATTAGAGGTGAGGCAAATCAAATTTTTCTCAAATCCTAAAAATTTTTCAAACCCCTTTAACCTTTCATTTAAGAATTAATAACAAGTAAATAACAATTAGTTAAGAAAGTATAAGACTTCAAAGAGTATGAGGAATTAAGAGTAAAAATTAATACTAAATAATTTTTTATTTAATATTAAATTTTTTAATTAAAGCAAAATTTGAAATCTGCATACATATTATTATTAATAACGTTGCAAATGTTTTTAAATGTGCATTGTGTATTAAACGCATATTAATTTATTTTAATTAGATATATAATTAAAGAAGTCCAAATTATTCTTACCGAAACAAACAATACACTGCGTTAGAAGCATCTTTAGACATTGAAATAATGCTGCAAATATATTTGTTAAAATTATCAGTTGGATGTACTTAAAATTGAATGATTTTAAATTATATCAATTAGCTTTGTAATAAAAAAGTAAAGATTTAAATTATCAAGAAGTGAACTGATTGCTTTTAAATCGCGCAACTGGTTAATGAATTGCAGATTGAATCGAAGTACTGATTTTTGATGATCTTCAGAAGATATTTTTGAAACGAGAAACTTAATGCTACTTTACGAAGCATTAACAGTTTTTAAGTCATTGTTTTTATTAATTTGTTTTGTTTTGTTTTGTTTTTGTTTTACATACTCATGTTTCTAGTTTCCTTCACAAGACACTGATTCGATAATTTAAAGCAATGGTCTTCAAGCTTTGTCGATTGAGGAAACCCATAACAATATAATTTTCCTTTGTGAAAAGTAAAGGCTAAAACTAAAATTATATCAATGTTCAGTGCACTTTGTACGGAAAAGGATAAGAAAATCATTATTTTGAATATTATTACACACAAAAGATCTTCGAAATAATTTAGGTAATAATAACAACAGAAATTAAAAAAAAAAAAAAAATAGTTGATCAATTATTTTAGATATTTGGTTTTAAGGTCCTCATAGTATTCAAAACTCTTCTGAATTTTGATTTTAACTTCGGAACTCCAAGGCAAATTACATGGTATTACAAGATTCCGTGAACACAATTGGAAGACCAACGATTTATTTAAAACAAATTGTGATAAAATTAAGAATAAATGAATTACAACATGAGGATGTTAAACAAAATTTAAAAAATTAATACAGAAATCCTGACATTTGTTATGCGCAAAAAGTGTAAAAAAATTACATCATTATCGCAAATTATTTATTCGAAAAGTATATAACGTAACGAAAATACTCGTGGCTTATCTGGGAAAAAAATTGTTATCCGTTATGATAATATCCGATTTAATTCGGATAAACGATGTAGTTTATGCTCATGGGTACATAGAAATGAGTTGCCGTGATTCCAGACATAACGCAAAATATTACTTTTAGTTCTCATTTAAGTAAAATATATGATAAATATATTAGCAAACACATCAGTTTTATTCAGGCTGAAGAGCGACCATGTCGAATTCTTCACGGAATACGCAGTATTTTTCACGAAATAACTGTTATTCTAATATCGCCTGAAGATTTTAAGGAGTTAAATATGCTTCTACCACGCGTTATTATGATCAGTATTTTAAACAGTACGCAAGTTCGAATGCCAGAGAGTGCAAACTAATTTTTTTTTTTTTTTTTTTTTTTTTTTTACTAATGTCACCCAGAGCGGATCTCCCTTCTAACTATACCACTATCCCGAATCAATTCTACACGGGCTGCGAATACATGAGTATTATTATGAGATTTTTAACATTTAGGACTCAAATTTTACATTTTTTTCTCTACCCGAAACGTGAGTAATGCCCCAGAAAATCTAAAAACAAGGTTAATTAATTTAAACTGCAGCATAACTCTTACTCAAAAGTATAAATACCCTCAGTTACCAATTTTCACAATAAGAATATTCGATTTTGAAGTACGTTTACATGAGCACAGCCCTTCCCCTCTCGTAACTGATAACTAACAAATCTAATGATAATAAGGTACTTTTCCGTTTCGCCGGCGCAAATCTCGCCAAAGCAGACTTTATTGGCGACAACATACATTATACACACAAAAAATATTAAAAAAAATTTTAGTCCTAAGAATTTTTTTTTGAAGGCATAAACATTTT